ACACCGAATGGATGTAGCAGTCCCCTTCAAACGACTTCTTAATAACATCTGATACTGTCCATCGCCCCTTCTTGGATATACTCTTCTCTTGGCTTCTTGGCTCAGTGGCTCTATGGATTTCCCCTCCTTGTATCACAACTTTTTCTCATTCTCCTTAGTGCAATTGTCCCCTACTCTCACCCCTTGAATGTTGGCATTCCTCAGTGTCCTCTCAGGGCTCTCTTTTCTTATTTTACCTACTCTACCTGGACAATTTCATCACTTCCAAGGTGCCTGTGAGCAGCCGAAGATAGACTTTCATATCTATTTCTCTAATCTACATCTCCCCACTGAGACACCACAGTTGAGCCTAATCCTCAGCCTTAGCTTTTAAGGCTTGGAAACTTGGTTTACTGTTTTTCAGAGTGTCTTTTTTCTTAGAGGAAACAAAGTTATAATTGTCATGTAGAAAAGATGCCAAAGGTGTTAGGAGCCATCTTCAATGATTTCACTGATATTATTAGTGGTATTGTTAGCATATTCATCATTTTAACTAAAATGCCAATCTTTTAATGTGCAAGTGATCTTTAAAACAATAAACTGGGGACTCCTGGGTGACTCAATGGTTAAGCATCTGCCTTTGGTTCAGGTCATGATCCTGTGGTCCTGGGATTGAGTCCTGCATCGGTCTCCCCACAGGGAGCCTACTTCTCCCTCTGCCTATATCTCTGCCTCTCTTTTTTTTAAATCTTTTTTTTTATTATTTATGATAGTCACACACAGAGAGAGAGTGTCTCTGCCTCTCTTATGAATAAATAAATAAATAAATATTTTTTAAAATAAATAAATAAAACAATAAATTGAAGCCCATTCTGAAAGGGGTGGGGCGACCAAAAATAAAATGGCTCATCATTCCTGTTGCAATAACATACAACAATGGAACGAGTTTCCAATATTCTGTCTAATTTGGTGGAAAAGATTTTATATCATACAACCTCAGTATAGAGTATGTTTTTGGGCTTCAATTCAAAGGAAGAATAAAAATAAAACTCAAGGTCAATTAGATGTTATCCAAAGTCACTGAACCTCATCTCCTTTTAATTAAGTCCAGGCTCAACTTTTGACTTCCCATGTGACCCACTGACCTGGGAAAGTAGGTTGACTTAATGAACATTTCCTGCAAAGAAGGAAGAGGCAATTACCATATGTATCCAAAACAAAACAAAACAAAAACTTCCAATTAAAGTGTCTTTCCTCCAAATCTTCCTCTCTCCTCAGCAACTGAATTCTCCTTACCACACTCACTTCACCGGTTTCTCTTCCCACAGTTCCTGATTTTGCTCTCTTCTCCTTGTATATGGTGAGTAGGCAATTTAACATGCATACAAGTTTGGTTGATAGAGCTCTGCTTTGTCCTGTCTTAACACATCAATATTAGCACCTGCATTACTTCACTGGCCTGGGTAAACTCTGCGTCTAAATGTTTCTCCCATCAAGCTCCATATTTTGAGTGGGTTCCTCTGCTGTAGATATCAACCCCCACATCCACCCTCCATCTCGTGAACTCATCTCTCTTCCTGGGTATCATTTCCAGGGAAACAAGCAGCTGTAGTGCTTGCTCTGATTAATTATCTAGTTCTCCAGTGCCTTCTTTCCCACCCTCTTCAGCACCTGGTGATTTGGAAATGAGAGGGTCATACTTCCTCCTCTACAGCCCTAGATGCTTACAGAAGGTGCTTGCGTGTGAACCCTACCCTCACTGTTAACTAGCTGCCTGCTCTTAGGTAGATTACCTAGCTTGTCTATGTCCCCAGTTTCTTAACCTACAACATTGGGGAAGTACAGTACCTTCCTTCCAGGATTAGGGTAAAGTGTAATGAGATTAAACAAATAGAGCACTCATGGTGCTTACGGCTCATATCCAGCCCTCCAGGAATATAAGTAGGTTATGGTTGTCCCTCTCCCACAAATTCTGCTTCATTGTAACATTTTACCCTGAGAACCACTGCATAAACAATATATATTGTATCTTTTGTCTACAATACACACACAACCAACATTATTCAATTTTCATACTTAGTAAATTGCAAAGGGAAGTATCTTGCAACATATCAAATTCTTCAGATAAAGGAAAACTCCTGATAATCTGTTAAATGATGCATTTTAAATAATCTTTAAAATGATGTATCCATGTGACACCCTTGAGGTCTGTGGGTTCAGTTCTTAGTAGAAGAACCAACTTGACCCTGGGGGTGGGGAGAGTCTAGCCCTTAACAGTGCACGCAGTGGTTTTAAATGCCTGGGCAATTTCGATCCTGCCAATAGCACTGTGAGGGGACATTATTACCTCAATATTGCAGATGTAGGGACCAAGGCTTACAGAAGTTTGGGAGTTTGCAGAGGAGGCACAGCCAAGTTGGAATCCAGATCATCTGACCCTATGTCTTCTGATTCCCAAATATTTTTGCTACTTGACCATGCTGAGTAATAGGCCCATTTCACTGTAACTACTTTAGTAACTAAAACAGATGATTAGATTTAATATCAAGAATAGTTTTGGGTTACCTGGGTAGCTCAGTTAGTTGAGCATCCAACTCATGGTTTCAGCACAGGTCATGATCTCAAGGTACTGAGATCGAGCCCTGTGTCTGGCTCCATGCTCAGTGCAGAATCGGCTAGAGATTCTTTCCCTCTCTCTCAGCCCCTCTCCCTGTTCCCACCTTTCTCTCTCTAAAATAAATGAAATCTTAAAAAAAATCATTTTGTTAATCATTGGACAGTTATTGAGCAACTCTTTGGTAGGGTAAAGCCGAAGAAAAATAGATCTTTGCCCTTTATTTTTTTTTTAAAGATTTTATTTATTTATTCATGAAAGACACAGACAGAGAGAGAGGCAGAGACACAGGCAGAGGAAGAAGCCGGCTCCATGCAGGGAGCCCAATGCGGGGCTCAACCCCAGGGGCCCCCAGGACCACGCCCTGGGCTGAAGGCCGGCACTAACTGCTGAGCCACCCAGGGATCCCCAGATCTTTGCCCTTTAATAGATTAGTTTGTAATAAAGGGGACATGGCTATGAGGAGGAAAGACTCAGGAACTCTCACAAAGCAACATGCAATCTCTTATGAATTGTAAGTTACATGCTATTTCACATTTTAATGTCTCTGGATGATTTCAAATCAATTAAATGTCATAGCTTACTAGGTAGCATTTGTTTTCTTTCTTGACTAGCACATAGAATAACACTGACTCATACTCGTCATTTTAGAGTCAAGAATATATAAAGCAACTAAATAGCCATTTATTTTATAGCAATCCACAAAACATTAGTCAAAAGTAAATATTTTTATACATAATTAATAAAGTTAATATCTGTTACCACAAAACTAGAAGTCATCAGTATCACCATTATTGATTCCCACTATCTGGCTCAGGTTCAAGGTCCCGTCTGTCAAGATGCAGGCATAGCCAAAGTCCCCCAGGGTTGGTTCAGAGCGGCCTGCACAAATGAGGCTATCAATCAGGTTAACAATTCCAGATGACAATATAACCAGTGAGTTAAATGTGCATATAAAATCTTTATACAGGCAGAAACATTTGAATACACAAAATGGTAGGTGAGTTCAGATAGAAGGGCCACACAGTGTTTCTGGAGATACAATGAACGTGTACTTTCAAAGAATTCAAATACCAAGGGGTGCAACAGAGGGTGATGGTCTGGTGAAGGCATCTCTGTAGCACAAGGGGAGGAACATACAGAGGGTATTTGGCAAGTAGTGCCATATGTAGCTCTGTAAGAGATCAAGTGACAGGGAGGAAAAAAGTGTTATGGACTTTTTTTTTAAGATTTATTTTTTTATTAGAAAGAGAAAGTGTGAGCTGCAATCGAGGGGGGGAAGGGAGAGACACAGGGAGAGAATCTTCAGACAGACTCCCCAATGAGCTGGGAGCCTGCCTAAGGGGCTCCATCTCACCACCAATGAGATCTGGACCTGAGAGGAAACCAAGAGTGGACACTCAACTGGCTGAGCCACCAGAAGCCCCATAAAGTGTTGTGGATATGGACACCACATTCATGAATTCAAATCCTGGCCAAGCAGTGCATTGGTTTTTGACCTTAGGAAAGTCACTTAATTATTCTGAGTATCAGGTTCCTCCTTTGTAAGATGGCTATAAAATACGTATGTTTAGTGGTTTAAGAAGTAGAGATGATATTATAAAATACTTGTGGAGGAACAGGCAATCAAAAAATGGTAACTAAAGTGGTTAGAAGGCTTTGATTGGAAGGACGGAATAAGCAAAGCCGTGCTTTGGGAAATTAAGGTGGAATTTGTGATTAAAACTGATTGTAGGAAAGAAAGTAGTAAGGAGAAAACTAGTTAAGATGGTTTTTCGGGCCCCGAGGTGGCTGAGTTGGCTCAGACCGTGATCCCAGAGTGCTGGGATCGAGTCCCACATCTGCTCCCGCTCAGCGGAGTCTGCTCCTCCCTCTCCCCCTCCCCCTGCTCATGCTCTCTCAAATAAATAAAATTTAAAAAAAAAAAAAAAGATGGTTTTTCAATCATCTAGGTGAGAGGTAATGGGGTGGAGGGGGAAAGAAACCAGGATATCTCTCAGTGGAGATGCAGCAATCAGGTGTCTCAGGGGCGGGGACGACAGAGATTGAATCTTGTCCGTGCAGTACGCGCTGGGGGCAGCGGCTTGGGGTGGAGGGCAAAAAAAAAAAAAAAAAAAAAGCACGAGAGGAATCCAGAGGCTTGGAAGTCTGGCGCTCAGGTACCTGAGAGCGGAAGCCCGGTGGACTGAGTGGGGGAGGGAGGGATGTAGAAAGTTCTCGTCACTGCGGCCTAAATCCCAGATGGAGGAGAATCTGCGTCCAGGCCCTGCCGAAAGTCAGGCTCAGCGGAGGAGGAGGGGCCGGCGGAGGGGGCGGGGCCGGCGGAGGGGGCGGGGCGTGGTCCCCCGAGCCCCGCCCCCGAGCCCCGCCCCGCCCCCGAACGCCTCTCCGCGGGGCGGAGTCCCAGGCGCCCGCCGCGCCCGCCGCCCCGCCGCCCTCGCAGCCCCCGGTCGGCCGGTGCGTCCGCAGCGCTGCAGCCTCGCCATGCTGGGCATGATCAAGAACTCGCTGTTCGGGAGCGTAGAGACGTGGCCTTGGCAGGTTGTGAGCCAAGGGGGCAAGGTAGGCCCGCAGGGCTGCCGAGGACCTGAAGCGGGCTGCGCCCTCCACCGCACCCTGACCGGGGCTGGAGCGGGTTGTGACGGGCGGGTGGGACGGCGATTGCCCCAGAATGTGCGTCTTGGCCTCTGCCGGGGGCGGGGGGCACGGCCGTCCAGTGCCAGGTGCCCGGCACGTGAACTGGGAAGGAGGAAGTAAGAGGGAAGTTCAGAGCAGCAGGCTGCGGGCTCTGCCGGAGGAGGTTGCTCTGAGGGCGGGCTCCCGGGGTGGCGACCAGACAGCGCCTGTTGCGTGCATTGGTTCATTTTAACATCCCAGGCATTCCGAGCATTTGTGTGCTGAGACCGAAAACGTTCATGTCCGTAAAAAATTCCCAACTACAGGAGCGATGAGTATAAAAGAACAAGACCTGTGCTCCACAGAGGTATATGTGCAAGGGAGGGAGCATGGGGAAGGAACAAGCCATCCTGCCAGGGGGCTGATGAGGGGGCCTGCGGAAGACACTTCCTCTGGGTCTCCCGGATGTTAAGAGTGCACAGAGAAGGGAAGAGTATGTGCAAAGGCCCAGAGCTATAAAATGGTAGGCGGGCCAGTGGAATTCCCAGAGGTGGGTCCTAGAATACAGGATGGGTGAATGAAGCATAACTGCTCCATCCCCCACCTCCCAAGATTTACATCAGTGCTGACACAAGCGAATTGGACTGCCCCTGAAAACAGAGTCCGCCACTAGACGATAGTCTCCTTGCAAACAGGTACTTCATGCACTTGGTATACTCCGCTCCTCGCTCAGAACCTGGCATGTTTAAGGACTGTGTGGTCTGGGGGCCAAGTTCTGGCATTTAGTACTATGATGGTCACACAAAAGCCCTCAACCAGACTCTAGTCTGGACTTCAAGCAGCTATAACCAGAGGCCTGTCACTTCATCTGAGTTCCCTCAGCTGCCAGTGGAATGACCAAGTTTAGACCAGATCAGGGGTGACATCTGCAGATGCCTACAATCCTCCAGGCAGGTTATGGAAATGAGTGAAGCTGGCTGGGTCAGACTCTAAGGCAAGGAGGGGACTGAGGCGAAACCAAGAGAGAACTCAGAGCCCCATCTGTAGAGGCAGTAATGTTGCTATGCAGTGATGCAAACCAGGCTTGCCAGATTTTTAAGGAAAATCAGAAATCCGGACTTCATGTGAGCTCTCCCTAGTTAAAATTAATTTATCCAACAAGTAACTATTTGCTGAATGCCATCTGTGTGCCAGTCACTCTTACAGGCAGTAGGGATAAAGCAAGGAACAAAACCAACAAAAATTTCTGGCCTCGTGGAGCTTACCTTTTAGTGGCTAACACACAAACAGGTCAAATATATCTTTCCTTATCAGATGGTGATGAGGGCTGTGGAAAAAAACAAGTGAGGAAGGGAGGCAGGAGTAGGGAATTTTAGGAATGAGGCTGTGGTTTTGAGTGGGGCAAACATGTCAGTTTCAACTGTTGGCAACTGCCTACAAATGTTTGCAAACTGCAGGCCATAGGCTCTGTCTGTGGCTAGACGGTGACTGTGTGCCATGTGCATGTCAGTCTGTGGATCCGGCCCAGCGCTATCTAGGGTACTTGTTGGCCCTAATGCTTAAAGAATCTACATGTTACCAACAGCTCCCCGAGTGCTTTCCTTTCTGTAGTGGAATCCAGCTCACTTGGTCTTTTGGGGGGACAATGGCCAACGCAAGGTCTGGGCTACTCTGCTGCCTGTTTGCCCTCAGATCCCTCCCTAGCTCCTTCCCTGCGTCTCAGTCTGGAGTCTGCAGTGGGGGTTGATTCCAGTTGCTTGCTTCCTGGGCACCAATGTCAGTCGACTCGACTCGCAGTGAGGTTCACCCAGTGGGAGGCACCAGTGGGAGATAAGAGGGTGGGAGGAAGGGAAGAAGGTGTTTCTCCCTCTCCTCCCATCTATCGGGTCTCTGGCACCAAGAGTTTCTCTGTAGCTCTGGCTTTTTCTAAACAGGCCACCATGGTTCTAGCTTCCATCGAGTGATCCAGGTATCTGAGCTCAGGTAACAGAATCCTCCCTCTTCGTCTCCTAGGGTGCTCACTCATGTCTGGGTTGCCTCACTGTTCCCTGTTGGGCAACTCAGCTCTTCTGTTATCTGTGAAATTAATTCCTTGAAACAAAGTGCCTTAGTTCAAAATACTCTAGTAGTTTCTGTTTACTGTTAGACCCTCAGTGATACAGTGTCACCTACCACTGATTTGGTTCCTCTAGGGATAAATACAGCTCCCTGATAAGCATCTTCCCTCAACATTTGATGGGAATATGGCACCGTAGGGGATATTGCTACCAGGCTGATGCGAATCATTTAACCTGAGTGATCTCAGTTTCTGCAGTTGTAGACTGGGTATAAAAATCTCTCCCATCTACTTCCAGAGTAACGAAAAATATCACATCTTTTAAAAACATGAAAATGCTTTGTAAACTAATACACCCTACAAATGTAGTGATATCATTACGTCAGAACTCAGCTCTGCTCTTAATAACTGTGTAGTCACAGGCAACTTAACTTCTCTGAAACCACTCTTGAGAGGAAATAAGAATGTTTGGAAGTTTAAATGAGATAACCAGTTATAAGTTGTTCAACAAAATACCTAGCACTTGGTTGGGTATGGTAACGGTCAGCTTCCCATCAGTTTCACAGGTAACTTTGGGTAAGCTACTTAAACCTCCTAACCACTCTGAACTCTGAATATGTATTCTCAACTGTAGACAGTGCCCCTGTGACAATTACTTAACTATTCAAAGATACTTATAAGCCTTTTTTAAAAATATATACAAATTCAGGGGGCTATTATTTTGAAGACAGACCCTCCCTGAAATTATCTCTCTTGCCCTGGAAAGCATCTGGGTCAGGAACCATTGCCCACTTTCTTGGGAAAATTGATGACAGACAGCAGGCCCTGTGTAGCTCAGGTTTAAGCATACCAGATGTTCAGGACTGATTGTGATGGGGAGGTCCAGGCTACCGCATAACTTATCAGGTGCCTTCCACATTGCCTCCAGAAGGAGGAGGGCACATTGCTCTCTGTGTTGGATTAGGTGGGTGTGTGGATGCTCAGAGCAGGACTGTTGTTAATAACTGGCATCTTAATGGGATTTTTTTTTCCAGCCTGTGCACATTGGTTAGGACCTGACAACCTGGGTTTGAATCTGAACTCTACCACTTGCCCACTGTAACCTAACCCCCTGTGCATCCAGTTTCATCTGAAAATAAAGATAAAAGCACTCACTTCTTCTCAGGATCATTGGAGGGATTGAATGAACGAATCTGTGCAAAATATTAAAAATAATACCTGACACATAACAAGTACTGAGTTAGATTATTTTCTTATTTTTTTTAAGATTTTATTTTTTTATTCATATGAGTCAGAGAGAGGCAGAGGGAGAAGCAGGTTCCATGCAGGTAGCCTGACGTGGGACTCGATCCCAGGACTCCAGGATCACGCCCTGGGCCGAAGGCGGTGCTAAACCGCTGAGCCACCCAGGCTGCCCAGATTATTTTCTTATAATGAGAAAGCTGGCTTCCAGAATCAACATGTATACCTATCATAGCAGGTAGCAAGGAAAAAAATTGATGCAGAGGGCCTTGCAAAGCCCATAGCAAGAGGCACTGTTGCAAGATCCCTGTCTGGAATTTGAACTTGACCAGGGTTCCCAGTAAACATTGAAAATTGGTGTTGGTGGCCGTGGGCCAAATCCTCACCTGACTAGGAGCGTAAACTGGCTGGATCTGGGACAAAGGTGGGCTTATTATGTTACATATGACAAGTATACACACTAAAGATGTTAAATTTGAAGAATCCAACGTGTTGGCTGTGTTAACCTAGGTGCTTTATTTTCCACAGAGTTAGAGAAGACTCTAAATTCTGCTCCCTGGAGAACTAGAGTAGTTTTATAATATCCATCTCTCAAACCTAAATCTTCACAATGATCCCATGGTTCAAATGAAAGTTTATGGACGTAGATGCTATAAAAACAGATGGGACCTGCCATAGTATCACCTTAGGATACTGTGAGTTTGCTTTGCTCCAGCATAGATACAATTAGACTGATTTCTCATCTGTCTACTCAGCTATTTCTATTGTATTCCTTGTCATTAGAGTAAAACCAGGCTTTACTCCACAGCGTCCTTTCCCACAAATACTTATAGTACCTACTATATGCAAGACATGGTACTAGATGCTAAGAGAAACAGTGGTAAACACAGATTGCTCCTGACCCCAAGGGGCTTATGGTTGCAGATGGAGATTAAACACATTATTATTGTGTTGTGAAAGTACAGGAGCCTATAAAAAAATCTCATGGGAACTTGTTTTCGATTAGGATCCTCTTTGAGGAGTGACCTTTAAGTTGGGACTTTCTGGATAAGTGGGGTCTATCAGGCAGAGACAGGAAAGAGATATTCCAGGCAGAAGAAGAGGCAGGTACAGAGGTCCTGGGGCAGGATTGACCATGGCATTGAAGGAAACAGTGGAAGGCCAGTGAGGAAGTACTCTGGGTATAGTTGGCAAGGTAGGTAGAAGCTAGGTGGTACTTGGACCACCTGGGATAGGTTAAGAACTTGGTGAATGAGGGCTTTTAGGTAGGGCATACATTAACAGGATTAAGTGATACAGAATGCTATGTGTACGTTCCCGGGGCAATATCAGTTTTGTTCACAGCTTTAATTTCCCCTTTTGCTGATGACTCTCAAAGTTATATCTCTATATCAGTCTGACCTGCTGAGCTCCAGACCTACATGTCCAGCTGCTCATCTGTAACAGAAGGCAGATGAAGTGATAGATGTGAAAGGGCCTTTCTAACCTTAGTCTTTGTTATCCACCTTTGGAGTTCATAGGAAGCAGGGATCACTCAGGAAGAGGAGGTGGAGCTGAGCCTTAAAGATTGGTAGAATTATCATGGGGGCCTTGGCTCTCTGAATTAAACTGGATTCCTTTCTTGTCAGCCTTTCTTCCCTTGCCCTGGACTTTCTGCCTGAGGAACAGGCTGAGAGCACAGATCACCTATACCATCCCCAGAACTCCTTTCTCTTCCAGGACCCCTCCCACTCAAAATCCCATATTTGGATCACAAAGTCTGTTGAATTAATTTATTTTGTTTTGTTTTTAAGATTCTACTTTTTTTTTTTTGAAAGAGAGAGAGAGTGAGAGAGAGAGCACAAGCAGCGGGAGGGACAGAGGGAGAAGCAGACTCTTCTCTGAGCAGGGAGCCCAATGTGGAACTCAATCCCAGGACTCTGGATTCGTGACCTAAGCCTAACCCAGGTGCCCCAGTTGAACTAATTTGGGGTAGTTGAAACCAACTTGTGCTCAGCTCACCGTCACTGGAACAATGGTTATAAAATCCTCCCTATGACAGCCTGAGTTCTTCGGAGGTCTGGCCTCTGTCAGAATCTCCAGCCCCTCTCTTGCTGTTCCTTGTTTGACAGCCTTTGCTATAGCCCCAGTGAGCCACTTGTATTCCTTGCCTGCAGCACACTGTTCTGTTCTGCTCTTTTATACCTGTGGTGCCCGCTAACCGAAATCACCCTCCCCAGACTATCAGAACATTTACTGCATCATAAAATAATTTCATAATCTTCTCACCACTCCACTAGACTGCCCATATCATATTAATCTCCAAATCCATAGCACATGGCAGAGGTTTTCAATAATACTTCCTCAATAAGTCAATGCATCAGTGACTGAATATCTAGCTAAATGATCTATGAGTACCTTGAAGTCAGCCTGACCTAGCCAGACACATAAACACACACCCATGCCCCAAAATAACCTAAGTAGTCCTCTTCTGTGTTCTCACAGTGCCCTGCCTCTCTTAAACATGTCATGAGATTATAACCCGTTTTCCTGGCTACTTCTATTAGACCATACCTCCTGATGTCAGAGACTGTGTCTTTCACTCTGTCTCTTAGCACCTGGCACAGTAGCCAGCACATAGTAGAAACTCCATAGTTGTTGGTTGAATGAATAAGAAAGGAAAGAGCCAACCAGCTCTTTTCTCCAGTGAGAGCTTGTCATTGGTTTCTCCATCTATGAGAGAAGAAGCTGCATTAAATGACTTCTGATGCCCCTGTTCTGAGTTTGACACAGACATACAAATGTCTATCAGAAAGAACTAACTCAATAGCTAAAGAAAGATGCTGAAAAGCACTCACATTGTCCCCCATGGAGTGTAGAGCCCTGCAAGTAAGCATCAGACCAAGGTTTGGAGATTGGAATTCTGGTTCCCTTTTCACCACTTAATAACTATGTGTTCTTGGGCAATTCTATTCCTCTGGTTCTTCATTTCCTCTTTGAGAAAATTAGTTGGATTGGATGAACTTTAACCTCTTTCAGGCAGAAAATTCTGTGATTCACAGAGTAGCATTTCTAGAATTTTAAACATAAGTGGCAAGACTCAATGGGCCATCAAATGAGGGGTGAATCTAGTTTCTACTATGGCAGAACCAAGAAAGGTCAAAACTCCCCAGATTTATACATCATTTGCTACTGAAGGTCCTTTGGAAATGTTTCACTTTGCAAGGGGAGGACCTCACAGCAGTCCTCAGAATTAGTAGCCACAGTGGATTTGCAGCTTCTGGAGCTATTTTCCTGGCTCCATGTGGAGGGAAGTTGATGAAATGGCACTCAGAAACCTTTCAGATTTTCCCAGCCCCTTTCTCACTATTCTCCTTTAATTGTGTATTACAAAAAAAAAAAAAATAGGTATTTTTTTCATTCTAAACATAAAATTATAATGTAAATGTACTTTTTCAGACTGTACAGGCCCTTTTGCCTGCCAGCCCTACCCACCTCCAGAGAGTCATCCTATCCACTTTGGAGTTGAGAACTTGCAGTTTAGGATGTGACAGGGAAGCCTGTTTGCCCAGCTAGAGCAGCCAAGTCCTCTTTTAGTTCATAGGAACTGTTTTTCCTATGTCTGTTTTTCATAATTGTTAGTAAGAGAGGCAGCTCCTTAATCACTAAACAAACGCCTGAGCGTTTATGATACTCCATGGTATAGTTCTGGTCCACAAAGACTTTATAGCAGACTTTTCAACCTGCACCAGTGTATTCCATTACCAGATAGCAAAATCAATATAGAGTACATCTCCCTTCTTTTAGTGGAATATGGAATAAAATTCACTTGACTAGAGCAGAAGTCAACAGGAAAGAAAGAAAAGGCCGGTAGTATTGGAAAGCCTCCCCTCCATCAGGGTACAGTATTATCTTGTGAAACTTTGTTTCAATCATGTGGATGTTCTTGACAGGGCATGATGTAAGACTGCATTTCTTGTTTTGGATCATGATTCTTTTTCAAGTTTGGAAAACATTGTCTTATAGTGTATGTTTAAGGAATACAAAATTATATGAGATACCAAAAGGCAAGGAGGAGGGGGTAAAGAAGAGCTGTGTGGGTCTGTTGGGCAAAGGAAAATGACCTTAGGACAGAAACTTGCATGGAGAGTGGTCATGATCAGCAGGGCTCCTGCCAGGGAGGAAGGCTTTCTGGGGAAGTGGCAGTAGCGATGGGCATTCAGGGGAGTCGGGGGTACAATTTAGATGAATGGGAATGAGGAGTTGTATCTGGGAGTACAGAGTGAAGAGAACTTTACTCTGATCCTTCTTGACCTGTGGCTCTGCTTCTAGAATGATGTTAATCCTGGGGCCTTAGAGTTTGTGGCATTATTGTTGCAGCTCCTTCTTTCCTCCTTTCCAATTTTCTTCTTTTTCCTGGCTCTCCTGTCATTCAGAAGTTGGATCTCCTGGCTTGATCCTCTGATTTACTTTTCTGTTTTCTACTTCTTTGCTTTTTACTTGACTTTCTGGGAGATTTCCTTCAGGTTTATCTTCTGACTTCTCTACTGAATTTTTCATTTCTTTTTTTTAACTTTAAAAAAAGATTTTATTTATTCATTCATGAGAGAGGCAGAGACATAGGCAGAGAGAGAAGCAGGCTCCATGCAGGGAGCCCAATGTGGGACTCGATCCCAGGACTGCAGGATCACGCCCTGGGCCAAAGCCAGATGCTAAACCACCAAGCCACTCAGGGATCCCCTATTTTCAATTTCTAAAAGCTCTTTTATCCCTAAACATTCTATTTTATAGCATTCTAGGGATGTTCTGAGTGGCTTGGGATGCATATCTTCTCTTGTCTCCCTGAGGATATTATTTGAAGCTTTTTCTGCTGACAGTACATTTGTAAGAATCTCAGAATCTTTTTCTCATGGCCCTTCATACTCATACTGTCTCTTCTACCCTGTCACCATGCCCAGGTTCGTCATGGAAAGTTCTTTAGCAGTTCTAGGGATGCCTGGGTGGCTCAGTGGTTGAGCCCCTGCCTTTGGTCCAAGGTGATATCCTGAAGAGCCAGGATCGAGTCCCACATCAGGGTCCCGGCATGGAGCCTGCTTCTCCCTCTTCCTGTGTCTCTGCCTCTCTCTCTGTGTGTGTGTGTGTGTGTGTGTGTGTGTATCATGAATGAATAAATAAAATCTTTAAAAAAAATAAAAATAAGTAAATAAAATCAAGCTCTTTAGCAGTTCTTATAACTGCACCATTACAGCTTCTAGAGTGATCACAGGTTGCCACTTTAAATCTCTTAAGCATGTGTGTTCTGTGTCTAGGAAGAAGTCTCCTATGAGGAAAGGACCTGTGAAGGTGGGCTGTTTGCCACAGTGGAAGTGACTGATAAGCCTGTGGATGAGGGTCTAAGGGAAGCAATGCCCAAAGTCATGAAGTACGTGGGAGGCACCAATGACAAGGGTGAGTATCCCTGAGGGATGTGACTCTGGTCTCAGAGGCAAGCTTGCTAGGTCCCGTGACATCAGGGGAAAATACAGCAAGGGGCCACAGGGCACCTGTCACCACCTGCTTCAGTAGCATGTGAACTTGTACTGTGTGCACAGGATGCTCTAGGGGACCACACCAACATCATCCCTGCCTACCCACCGGTAGGCGGTATCCCTGCTCCATATTACTGATGCATGCTTCTCGTCCAGGTGTGAACTGTATAGACACTCTGGGTTTTTTTTTTTTAATCCCACAGCTCTGATAGTATCTTTGGATTGGTTGACTGAATGAAGAAAGCCAAGTCACAGAGCCAGGCCAGCCTCAAACTTGAGACCTCTTGCCTCCAGGCTGAATATCTCTGCTCAGTCCTCTGATCGCTCAAAATCTGTGGGGTACTGAGGCTTAGTGAATAATGAGTATGGCAGGTCCTCGGCTCTGTTCTGGCAAATGAAGGGTCTGAGAATTTGGGCGCTACTCCATTCTTAGACTTGGCCCTTTATGCTGGCTGCAGGATAGGGGTATTTTTAAAATGATGACCCTGAAGTTTCAGTGTACCTGTCAACATGTAAACCATGTTTAAATATGAATTTAACTCTAAAGCTCTCTAATTTGGACTACTCTTTAGAATCAGTGCAAACCCAAAATGGGTCAGAAAATGAGGTGAAAAAAGAGATGTGATGTTTAATTTTATGGATATTTTTTCAAGCTAATAATTTGGAAAGTCAGAAACTGGTATTAACCTCAGTAACATTTGGTAGTAAAGAAACCAGGCTTTGGACAATAAGTCCATTAGTAGGAGATCAGGAAGAAATCTTTTCCTTCTCAGGGCACCTGGGTGGCTCAGTGGTTGAGTGTCTGCCTTTGGCTTAGATCGTGATCCTGCGGTCCTGGGATCGAGTCCCACAGCAGGCTTCCTGCAGGAAGCCCGCTTCTCCATCTGCCTATGTCTCTGTCTCTCTCTCTGCGTCTCTCATGAATAAATAAATAAAATCTTTAAAAAAAGAAAAAATCTTTTCCTTCATAATACTGTTGTAACTTTTTTTTTTAGAAGACAATATGTATAAAAATGATAAAACTGGGGGTGCCTGGGTGGCTCAGTTGGTTGAGCATCTGACTCTTGATTTCAGCTCAGGTCATGATCTCAGGGTCTTGAGATCGAGCCCCACAGCTTTATGAGCAGCATGAAGTCTGCTTGGAATTCTCTCTCTCTCTCCCCCTCTGCCCCCTCCCCCCCTTAAATAAATACATGTCTTTAAAAAATTTTTTTAAATGATAAAACTCATTAAAGAAAATCTTGAAAATAACAAAACAGCACCCCTGATCCATCTTTTTTAATATGATCATTGTTGTCTTCTGAATGTATTTCTTTAGAGCTTTTTAATAGACCTTTAAAATGTAATCATAGTGTTTGTGCAATTATATATCTTTCTGTTGTTATAACTATTTTCCATTATTGCTCAATAGTCTTCTTAAGTCTAATTCTTAATAGCTACATTATATTGCATCATGTGTTATAATTTACTTAGACATATTCTTTTTGGAACATTGATATGGCTCCCAGTCTCTCACAATTATTAATTCTGCTGCAATGAATATCCTATTACCTCTAGCCTTTTCCATATTTTGATTTTTTTTTAAGATTTTATTTATTTATTCATGAGAGACAGAGAGAGAGAGAGATCGAGGCAGAGACGCAGGCAAGGGGAGAAGCAGGCTCCACGCAGGGAGTCCGACGTGGGACTCCACCTCGTATCTCCAGGATCATGCCCTGGAATGAAGGCAGTGCTAAACTGCTGAGCCCCTCAGGTTGCCCCTTTTCCATATTTTGGATTACTTGCTTAAAATTTATATTTAAATAGAAAATAATTAGATACCAGGATATTTACAGTCTTAATGTATATTACCAAATAATTTTTTTCCAAATGAGTTGGGTCACTACAGTCCTATTTCCAATATACACAAATAAGAGTTTTTTTTAAATGTATCTGACTATATATTTTTTAATGCCTAAAAGGTTTGTTACTAATTTCAAGAACAAAAAATACTATCTTGGAAGAAGAATGAGACTAGCAGATCTCCCACAGTCCTGAACAAGTTCTGTCTATAATACCCATCTCACTCTGTGGGTTTTTATGTTTTCAGGAATCGGAATGGGGATGACAGTTCCTGTTTCCTTTGCTGTGTTTCCTGGTGATGATGGCTCCCTACAGAAGAAATTAAAAGTCTGGTTCCGGATTCCAAACCAGTTTCAAAGCAACCCACCAGTTCCCACTGATGACAGCATTAAGATCGAGGAGAGGGAAAGCATCACTGTCTATTCCCTGTAAGGAGATGATTCTTTAGACATCCAAGGGTAACGTCTGATTTCCATAACCACTTCTTGATCATCTGCAGTGAGCATTTGCATTAAATGTGTATTTTATTCTAGTTTTATAGAGATAGAATTAGCATATAACATTGTATTAACTTAAAGTATACAACATAAAATGTTTTGATATATATAAATATTGTGAAATGTTCATCCCAGTAAGTTCAGTTAACATCCATCATAGTTATAATTTCTTTCTTGAGTTGAGAACTTTAAAGATCTGCTTTCTTAATAACTTTCAAATATACATTATAGTATTATTAACTATAGTCACCTTGCTTTGCATTACATTCCCAGGACAAATTTATCTTATAGCTGGAAATTTGTACCTTTTGACCACCTTCATCCATTTCTCCCATTCCCTACCAACATCCCATCTCTGGCAGCCACCAGTCTCTTCTACCTATGAGTTTGGTTGTGTGGTTGTTTTTTTAAAATTCTACATACGAGTGAGATCGTGTAGCATTTTCCTTTCTCTGAAATATCACTTACCATAATATCCTTAAGGTCATCCATGTTATCACAAATGGCAGATTTTCTGTGTTTTTTTAATGGCTGAATCATATTGCTTTGTGTATATATACCACATCTTTATCCATTCATCTGTTGATGGGCCTTACACTGTTTCCATGCCTTGGCTATTGTAAATAATGCTTCAATGAACATGTGAACATGGCAGTGTAAATATCTCTTCAAGATAGTGATTTCCTCCTTTTTAAAAAAATTTTTTATAAGTGATCTCAATTTCTTTATGTGTATATATATATATATATATATATATATATATATATATATATATACACACACACACCCAGAAGCCCAGAAGTGGAATTGTTGGATCATATGGTAGTTCTTTTAATTTTTTTGACGAACCTCCATACTGTTTTCCACAGTGGCTGCACCAATTCACATTCCCACCGACACTGAACAAGGATTCCCTTTTCTTCATAGCCTCACTAACACTTGTTTTTCCTTGTGTTTTTGATATTCGCCATTCTAATTGATGTAAAGTGGTATCTCATTTTGGCTTTGGTTTGTATTTCACTAGTGATGAGTGATGTTGAGCACCTTTTCATGTACCTATTGGCCTTTGTATGTCTTCTTTGGAAAAATGTCTATTCAGATCCTCTGCCCATCTTTTAATCAAAATGTTTGGCTTTTTTGCTATTGAGTCATAAGAGTTCTTTATATATTTTGGCCTTTAATTCCTTATCAGATATATGATTTGCAAACATTTTCTCCCATTGAGTAGATTGCTTTTTTGATACGTTGATGGTTTCCTTTGCTATATAGAAGCTTTTTAGTTTGACAAAAACTCATTTATTTTTGCTTTTGTCACCAAATACTTGCCAAGATTAATGCCAAGGAGCTTACTCTTTATGTTTTCTTCTAGGAATCTAATCGTTTGAGGTCTTAATGTTCAAGTCTTTAACCTATTTTACATTGATTTTGGTGTGTGGTATAAGATAGAGGTCCAATTTCAATCTTTTGCCTGTTGCTGTCCAGTTTTCCAGACACTGTCTATTGAAGACACTGTTTTTGGCTTCTTAATTCTAGGTAGGTTGACCATATATACATGAGTTTTTTTCTGACCTCTCTATTCTGTTTCATTGATCTACATGCCTATTTTTATATAAACACCATACTGTTTTGATTACAATAACTTTGTAATATAGTTTGAAATTAGGAAATATTCTTAGCTTTATTCTTTTTTCTCAAAATTGCTTGGCTATTTGGGGTCTTTTGTAGTTTCATACAAATATTAGAGTTGGTTTTCTTTTTCTGTGGAAAAATTCCATTGGCATTTTGATGGATTTTGCATTGAATCTGTAGATTGCTTTCCATAGTATATACATCTTAAGAATATTAATTTTTCCAATGCATGAGCTTGGAATATCTTTTCACTTATTTGTCTCTTCTCCAATTTTCTTCATTAATGTCTTAGAGTTTTCAGTGTATAGATTTTTTACCTCCCTGGTTAAATTTATTCCTAGATATTTTTTTTATTTTATTCACACATTTGATAGAAAGAGCAAGAGAGAGAGAGAGAACATGAACAAGATGAGGGGCAGAGGGAGAAGCAGACTCCCCACTGAGCAGGGACCCCAATGTGGGACTCCATCCCAGTAGTCTAGGATCATGACCTGAGCCGAAGGCAGATGCTTAACTGACTGAGCCACCCAGGCACCCCTATTTCTAGGTATTTTATTCTTTTTGATACAAATTGGATTTTTTTCTAATTAATTTATATTGTTGATGAATTAAGTTAAGAAATACCGAGTCCTGACAATTTCTCATTTCATTCTCTTTAGCTTATAGCACACAAACATTTGCATTGTATCTGAATAAATACTTTGCCAGTTGCCAAATTGACTTGGATAGAGTATCCCCTCAGTTTAAGCTAAGCACCTACATTAGCCACAGTAGGGTTCTGGGAGACTCAAGGAATATCTAAGCCAAACTCTAGTTTGGGGTCATGAATACATAAATGAGTATATGAATATATAGGACTTGAGGGACCTCCTTTTTTATTCCATGCTCCCCTTGAATGCCAGACAACAAGGAATATTTGCCAGAACTGGACTGCCACCCCCTTAGTTGTTCACTATCCATGGTCCTTTGAGCAGAGCACACATGCATCCTATTATCATTCTCATCCTGTTTCCAGGGCCTTATTTGAGGTCATATTTCTTTTGACTGTAGAGCATAACAGGGTGGCAGATGGTTACATATTTTTATTCTTTGGGTCTGAACTCTTCAGAAAACAAGTCTCTTGTAGATAATCAGTGACTCCCCATTTGTTAAAATCCTACATTGTAACAAACGCTGAACCATGTACAGTCACAGACCAGGAGCTTTACCAGTATTAACTATAAGTGTGGATTTGGTTCTGCTCTAGAAAAACCTAAAGAATAATAGGTTAACAAATAATCTTGCATTGGGCAGTTTTTGTCTACCCCCAGGGGCCTCTGAACTTACTTTTTGGCTGCCTTGCACCTGAACATGTAGCTTTCTCTGGAACTGACACTAATGCTGGGAATGTGAGCTTACCTGCTCTCAGCAGCCCTAGGCCAGGTGCTGCAGAGCCCCCCAGAGGACAGTGAGTGTACTGCAGCGGGGCCCCTAGCTCTTCTACTCCAGCCATCCATCATTCAGACTTTCCAGCCTTCACTACAGAGGCTGCAGAGAAAGCAAACTCTAGGGACAGAATGTCTTTCCCAAGGGCAAGGACTAAAGTGGGGAAGCGAGGTGGTGGCGATGGTACAAAATTTAAGGAGGCACCCACTTTCAAGTGCACAGCTGTCTAAGTGCAGGATTGGCACTGAGAGTGAGTGCCTCCTTAAACCTTGGGTGCTGTGTCTTTTCTGTCTCACCCTTATTCCTGCTCCCTCTTTTCCATTCTCTTTCTCGAGTCTTGGGAGGCAAGCTGGTACACCCTAATGAACAAGTATATTTTTGTTTGAATCCCAGATTGATGTTCGGGGAGTCACTGAGCCTAAGACAGTTTCCCCATCTGCTAAGTGCCTGTAACAACCTACCTCATAGGATTACTACTAAAGAATATCTTTTAGTACTTACTCAAATGCGTCTGTTTTTACAGATGACTTACTATGTATGACCTGTGGTAGGGTTCAGTAATTATTTTTTCCCTTTGCCCCTTTTGATTTCGTAAGGAATAGCATTGGCATGATTAAATCAGTTCACTTCAAGCAGACTTCAAGCAGACACGGCTGGTGTTTTTACCAGAGCCAGGGTAATGAGTTGGCACGATGCTTTTCTTTTGTCCCTAACTTTTTAGTATGGAAATTTTCAAACTTAAAGCAAGATAGAATAAGGTAATGAAATCCTATGGAACTCATCACTCACCTTCAGTGATAATTAACTCAACTCCAGGGCAGATCTGTGTCATGTGTACCCTCACAACTGCCACCCAGCTCCTCCACTGGGTTATTTTGAGGCAAACTGCAGACATTATATTAATTTCATCCATAAATACTTCAGTGTGGCTACAAAAAACTTTTTATAAAGACAATCATAATGTCTTACTCCCCTAAAATTTTAACACCATTTCATTAGTGTCATAATAATATAAAATGTCCAGGGTTCAGATTTCTGCCACTATCTGGTAATTTGCTTTTAAAGTTTGTTTGCACCTGGATCCAAATAAAATCCATCCATTGCAATTATCTGGTGTACCTTTTAAGCTTTTACTAACCTGTGGCTTTTCTCACTACCACACCTTTTCATTTTTCATTGCTACTTATGGATCATTTGTCCTATTGTTTCCCATAGTCTGAATTTTGCAGACTACCTTTCCATTGGCATTTTAACATGTTCTCTGCCTCTGGCATTGCCTGTAAATTATTAGTTAGAACCAGAGGCATGGTCAGATTCAGGTTGGCGCTTTCAACAAGGATATTTCATAAGTAATGGTGTATACCACCATCAGGGACTCATAACGTTTGCTTGCCTCTGTTTTTGTGATGTCAGTGGCTGTAGATCACCCTTATTTAGATGCCTTGCCTCAATAGAGTTTGTAAAAATGATAATGTGTCTATCTTTCCTTCATTTATTAGCTGGAATACTTTGATAAAGAGAAACCTCCCCTCATCTGCTGTTTGGTTTCCCTGAGACAGAGTCACAGGGAAAAGGCAAGATACCTTCTCTTTAGCTTGTTGCCTTCTCTTTGTCTGTTTTCAGAAGAATGATTTCATTCCTGAACTTCCTCTACAGGCAAGGTGATGGTGATCCCTGTTTTTTGAGCATCAATATAAACATACGAATTTAAACATAATTGATGTGTTTCTGTTCTTTCAGTTCTTACTGATGCTGAAATTGTCCCATCTTTGGCTAGTGGGAGCCTCTTCAAACTGGTTTCTTCATCCTTTTGATATGACTCTAGTACTCTATGGTAGCTTCCTTGGCTTCTGGTATGACAAGGTGTTGCAAACACA